AATGATATTTTTATTTATTCCGAGCTTGATTGTGTAGTTCAGAACTCGTGAATGTGTTTAACTGTGGATTTCTTTGGCGATTTGGTTTTTCTTGGACTTTGGATCAGTACTACTACTACTTGTTTGACCCTGCTTTTGTTTTATGGACTTGATTTACGTGAGATTTTGAATTCGTTAATATCGGACATCTGTATTCTGTAGAATTACATTTTGGATCAGTAAGCAGGTATGTACTAAAGAAAGATGTTTCCTTAAGCTTTTAAATGCATTTGAATGACATGCTTCTATCTGTAGTCTGTTAATAATTATTAATTTCTACATAAGTTCATAATGGCTGCAAAATCTAAATATGATGTAATTATCTTTCAGTTCACCTGTTAAAACATGTTGCACTGTTTAAAATGCGCTTCTGCAATATTTATATTATATAAAAAAATATTGTTTTGTTCTAGATGGATGAAAATGCACCAATATGTTCACAATGATTTGCAAACGTATTACAAGAATTATCTGTCGGCACAAATCTTAAAAATGAGCTCCAGCGCCCTAATGCCAATACTATCAGTATATTGTATGTTTGGTGTCAACGAAGACTGGGCAGACAAGTGGTGACCCAATTAATATCATCCCAACAAAACTGATTTAATAAGAGGCCGTATAAAATCTCGCAATTACTCGGGCACAGCTTATTATACATATATACTGTTTGTGAGACAAGGGACAAGTTGGAATAAGATGATTGCAGGTTATTATTGCAGTTGTACTTCTGGGCAACAGACAGTGGGTTGCTGTGCCCACATAATGACCGTTGTCTAGTATTTGGGTTCGGCTCGGTATCAAAATTCCATAACCGCACCGGTCTCAATTCTGGGTGGCATTTTAGTAAGACAGGATTTTGAAGTAGGATAAACAAATAAAAAATAAAAAAATTAAGCTGTTTTATTTATATTACCATGATATTAACATGATTGACCTAATGTTTCACTTTCTATAATTTATAGGACTGTTAACCTTTGTTATGACATTATCCAGGCTTTAAATCTCAAGGCATACTCTGACATACTGAGGACCTGTTATATGGAAATATTTGTACGCCGGAAACGGCAGCATATTTAGGATGCGAATTCTTTTGTAACAACTGTAAAGTACCATATTATAACAAATAAATTATATTATCTATGATTGTACCCTAGCACTTCAGCAGCCCAAATAGACACATATACCTGAACAGAAATTAGTATTCAGGATTATTCTGTTTATCCACCTTAAAACAGCCACTCTAAGGTATAATAAGTTAAATATATTCTTTATTATTAGTGCAATAAAGTAGTACCTCAGGGTGAATTTTTTTAGGGTAGAGAAACGGAGTTACCCGCTATTCACATATAATCTCGGCTTTGAACTAACTGGCACTAAATTTTTGTAAAAACTAACAAAACACCTAGGCCTCATTTCCCCATATAAAACAAAAGAAAGTCCTGGATGCCCCTGGCACTCAAGTGTGTATTAGTACACACTGAAATGTGGAATTGTTCGGATTAATCGTAGCCGCCAAATTTCACGAACGCACATCGCGGCAGAACTCCCGATACCATCCACACCATCTGGATGATTGGCGGTCCACCACTGTGCGATTTAGAAGATGTTTTCTTCCTCGCACGACTTTCTTGTGGAATCGATTACCATCAGCGATTTTTCCGGACCGATACGACTTAGGGACCTTCAAGAAAAGAGCCTACTCCTTTTTAAAAGGCCGGCAACGCATCTGCAATTCCCCTGGTTCCCCTGGTGTTGCACTTGTTCATGGGCGGCGGTAGTCACTTAACATCAGGTAAGCCGCATGCTCGTTTGCCCCATCTCCTATAAAAAAAAAACTAATGAATGCAATGAAATAATTTTTTGCGTAGGCACCGTTGATTTATCTCAACAATCTTCTTGTTTGGAATTAGGTAGTACTGTTTACATTTGTTTTCTCCTGAACTGCATTTATGATATGCAAATATCAACAAGAACGTTAGTTGTTTTAAGACCAAAAAAGCACATACGCAATCTATAATACACTTTATTTACAATACAACTTTTTTGCCCTACTTTCCTATTAGTTTCGAGACATTTTAGCTATTTTACATAATAAATCTACCTGATAGGCCATGGGTGATATGAGTATATTTCAGAGATGACATCTAACGTCAAATCAAAATGATATAAATCCGCCATTAGTGTTGCATTTTTTGGTGAGAATAAAATATTAACACCACTGAAATTAAGGCAAATTCGTGGGTTTGAATGATCAAAAGTGGTTTAATATTTTATTTAAATTTATTTCTATACTAGTACAAAACTAGGCCTACGCTTCATACAATTTTGGACCGTCTCCTTTTTCATTCCAATATTAATACCACAAAATATTTGTCTTATAATATTAATAAAATACTGTTAAGTATATAAATTATTTTGCTTTATTTTCCATTTAACAGAAGAATATTAAATAAAAAATATTTAACCCTTAATAAACTAGTAAAAACTAGTAAAAAAACTAGTAAATAAAAATAAAAAGAAACAGGAACATTATATATACATATAACATAATTTCACAGCTTAAACGGTCAATGGGACGCATTTTCCCATGAGCTGTCACTGTCATTTCATTTTATAGGCATTTGATCGTGTTTCCGAATGAAAGAAAACATAAAAAAGAGATGTCAATGTCATTGTCACAATAATTACTCACCGGTTATTGTATTTTTACGCAGTTTTGTTAATGAAATAGATAATATGTCGAGAAAAAATCCGATAAGTGTTCATTTTTGATTATTTTCAATTCAATTCAATTCAATTCATTTTATTCATTTGCGATATATGGGTTACAATAGGTCTTAAATAATTTAACAAAATACAGCCATATTCTACCTTCCGGTGTGCAAACTACTTAAATATAAGATTTTATTTATAATTAAAACTAAATGGAAAATTCCGATAATTACATTAACATAATATAACCCTATTTGTATATTTGCACTACTAACATAATAATAATTCACAAAATAATGATAAAATACATGTAATAATTAAAATTGTAATGTCAAAATAATAATGTCAAAATAATAATGTCAAAACGAGTATAAATTATTGTTTCAAAATTAATAACATAGATAACGTTTCGTTCAATAAATTTGATAGATAAAATTTAAAAATTGTCATATAAATAATCGTCAATATTATAATACGCTTTTTTGGTTAAAAATGTGTTTAGTTGTTTCTTAAAAATGTGAAGGCTCTTAGAATCTCTTATATATTTAGGTAAATGGTTATACAGACGAGGACCCATACAGAATACGCTTTTTTGAAACAAAACAGTCTTACTATTGGGATGGCTCAATTTATCTTTATGACGCTGGACATTTAGTTTTTCGTAAAAACTTAAGTTTTGACGTATAAATAAGACTACCTCATATATATATAGACATGGCATTGTTAATAATTTTAAATTAATGAAGTATGGCTTACAGCTCTCACTTTGGTTAATTTTACAAATGGCTCGTAAGCATCTTTTTTGAGCTTTAAATACTGTTTCTTTGTCCGTACAATTACCCCAGAACATAATACCATATCTAAGTGTAGACATAACATAAGCATGATATGATGCCATTACGGCGGATGTGTCTACAACTTTTCCAAGCATATATAACGCATAAACTTTTTGCATAGATGTAATGTTTATTCAGTTGTTCATATGTTTTATTTTTCTAAATAAAAATACCATGACGTGGTTTGATGAATTCTAAGTATGTGGGAAATATTTGCTTGTTGCCCGTTTAGGTTTCCTACGTAACGATTTATGTGGGAAAACTGTTTTCGTAGGAAGCATGCGGGATTTATTTTTATCTCATAAGCAATGTTTTACGTTTTTTTTTATAGGATAAGGGTGACAAACGAGCACACAGTCCACCTGATGGTAAGTGGTTGCTGCGGCCCATAGACATCTACATCTATCCTCTATTACAAATCAAAATGTAGACACGTTGTCACCCGTGAGGACTAAGATGGAATGCCTCATTTCCAGTAAAGAGTGCCTCCGGCCACCTGCACTCACCAAGCGAAACGCAGAGGTAAACCTCTACTTCACGCTGGTTTTCTGTGAGGTCGTGGTACCACTCCGGTTCGAGCCGGCCCATCCGTGCGACAGCAAAAGCTGCCGCGTGGCTCTACTACTGTTTAAATGTTTTACGTTTCAGAAACTACTTCGCGTTTCTGAAATTGAGTTCCAGCTGTCACAGCTACTTTGTTCATCGGAAGAAGACCTTGATGATGAAGCAGTTGACTCTTTTGCCACAAGTAGTTACAATGTCGATTAAGACAAGCATTTGGATGAGATTCAAGGTATTTCTGTCGAAGAATTACATTCTTTATTGGTGGGAGAATCAGATTTGTCTCTTATCCAAGATGAAACTTTTTTGAATTCACCAGTTCAACAGATTTCTAAGCCAATTCTTCCTCAAGTGGCTTCAACTTCACAAGATGCAATTGCTGAAGTCTATGAAGGCCCTTCTCATGAGATTTCGGATGTTCCTATACTACTTGATCAAAATCCTGGTGAAACAAACTCACTTGTTGCTGTAGCTGATGTCCAGGCAGACCACTTTTCCCCAGTACCAGTATTGGCAGAGCCTGATAAAATCAAGAGATTGTTCTCTTGCAACTTATGATATTACTTGACCTATTGTCGAGAAGAAAATGCAGATAAAAAAAATTACAATAACAGAAGTCAACCACTGGATTATTTTCTTGACTTTTTCCCTGATGAGTTACTGGATATTATTGTTGAAAATACAAATATTTATGCAAGACATACACATTCCAAAGCTTAAACTGAAGTTACAAAAGAAGAAATAAAAGCATACTTTGGAGTGATTATACTAATGAGCATAAATTCATTAGCAGATATAAATATTTATTGGTCAACTGATGAGTTTTTCAGAAATCCTGTTATTTGCTAAGAAATGCCCTTAAAAAGATTTAAAAAAATAACACAAAATCTCCATATATCAAATATTTCCACAGAAGCTCAACGAAACTCACCAGATTATGATAAATTGAGTAAAATTAGACTTACCATTTCAATTCTAAACAAAGTTTTTCAAGACAATGTTCAAGTGTCAGAATTTAATTCAATAGACGAAAGTCTGATCAGGTTCAAAGGTCGTAGTCACATGAAGTAGTATATGTCCAAAAAACCTAAAAAATGTGGGTACAAGTGTTGGGCAAGAGCAGATTCTCTTACAGGGTATTTATATGAATTTCAATTTTATACTGGTAAAGTTGATACTGGAACTGAAGAGAATTTAGGGGCCATAATGGATTTGTGTGAATCTCTGCCAAGCCATACATTAGTGGCTTTTGATAATTTTTTCACCAGTCTGCCACTGATGGAACTTTTACATGAAAGATGCATTTACTGTGTTGGAACACTAAGAATGAACCGTAAGGGCTTACCAGATTTGATATTCCCTCCCCTCCCCTTCCCTCCCGGACCGCTCATGGAGTGCTCGTGTATTTTGATCTGTTAATTATTTTATTTTTCGATATAAATTAAAGTTTAAACCAATAAATCAGTGCAGCGAAAATAAGAGTGCATAAACGAACAAGAAGTTATTTCGCCGAGTCGATAACCGTAGCAGTGCCTCAAGCACCGCCCACTATTCCGTAGAAACGGATGTTTTGTCGTAGCAAGCCGTGAACTGCGCTACGAGTCGACACTACGTACTTTGCTACGGAACGATCTCTGCTGCGGTTCTGTCGCCCTGGTACCTCAGAAAGACATTGAAAGAGTACCGTACACTCAAAAACTAAAAAGAAAAATATTGTACATGACTCTGCTGAGTTTATGCGTGCCTGGTACATTGACCTCCCAAGCGACTAAAATAGTGCACAAAGTGTTTGTTTGGTTCTCTCTCTCTCTCCAGAATATTGTGATCTCCAGGTAAATAATCTCAAGTGCTTGCTAAACTTATCTTTCTAAAACTACTAAACATTTTAAATTTAACATTCAGCTCCTACAGTGTTATACGGCCCTAATATTTGTGTCTGGCTAATAAACAACTGTACAAAAAAGAAGTTGCGGTGCTGTGTACCGAATCTGTGACTTCCTGCCTGCTTATTAAACCCTAATTAATATAAGTCCACTAAAGATGCCACTAAAACGAACTCCCCCTCCCCCCACTGCTGCCATTTCTACCTCCAATGCATCACCCTCTCACACCCAATCTGAAACAGACCTTAGTGGAGTGCTTGATGGCGTGACTATCAGATCAAAGCGTTGTCGAGAGGAGGAGTCCATGACTGACTTCATGGATGGCATGATGAACCTACTGAGGGAATTCAAAAATGAGCAAAATCGAAAAGTTGATGCCCTCCAGGATTCTATTGCTGGTATACAGGTACAGCAGAAAGAGAAGCTTAACTCCTTACAGGAAACTACAGATGAAATAAGGAAGCAAAATGATGCTATACACGTGTCCATGGAGTACCTTCTGCAGGAGAACACCGAATTAAAAAAGAAATTGCAAAAAATGGAGAGCAAACAGAAAGAAAGCACTGCTTATATACGTACCCTGGAGGACAGGATTGAGGGCATGGAGCGACAAGATAGATGCTCAAGTATTGAGATTCGCAACGTACCGGTGTCGAACACAGAAAGCAAAGAAGACCTTCTAAATATTATACTGAGCATATCGACTGCCCTGAATGTAGACGCATCCGCTTCGGATGTATGTGATGTCTACAGAATCAACACAAAAATAGTGTACTTATTAAAGAAAGAATACTGAAAAGCCTAAAAAACTTTAATAAAGCTCATAAAGGAAATAGATTTAGTACAGAACACATACATATCAAAGGAGCGGCCCAGCCTATATTCGTCTCCGAGAACTTAACTCCAAAAGCAAAAAGACTATTTTTCCTTGCGCGTGATTTTGCGAACTCCAACGATTATTCATTCTGCTGGGTAACCCATGGAAGAATATTTCTACGCAAAAGAGAGGGAGAAAAACTTATCCGCGTGGACTCGGAGCTGGATTTAACGAAGCTGATAAATGTGAACAAATGACTATACGGTAGCTTATTCTTACTAACCTATTACATTAATCATTTGTACACGGTACTCAAAATGCTTACACAACGCAATCAAACACAATCACTCTTACACACACGTTACTCATTATCACGACATAAGCTATATATCACACACCCATACAGCATCACTTCTGCCCTCAAACTAATATTTATGTTGATACCTACTCAACTCAATATCACGACTTCCAATCAGGAATACAGAACTATCAGTGTAATACTAAAGTGCACCACTCATAAATATCTTAAGTCATTATGGAAATAAATCAAATAAATACTGAAATAGACAAATCCAACTGTTATGAATCCTTTATGTGCTCTCCGCAAGAATGCGCACTGCACACTGATCCAAACCGTGAACAAATAAAAATCCTTCACGTTAACATCAGGAGCATTAACCAAAATTTTGATGAACTTTGTATCTTCTTAAATATGATAAATATAAAAGTGGATATAATAATATTAACAGAATGCTGGCTTAGTAAAGTTGTCAATGTCCCGATCCTACAAGGCTTTAATTCTCACCGTTCCAATTGGCACAATCAGAACGATGGTGTTATTATGTTTATTAGAGAAGATATGAAATGCAAAGTATCTGTCGTAAATCTAACAGATGCTAGCTGCCTGAAAATCTGCTTTAATAATGGTTTAGCTATCTTAGGTGTATACAGATCTCCTTCTGTTAAAATTATCGATAATTTTCTCAACTCACTAAATAATTCGCTACTATCTTTAGCGTCATACAAAACAATAACTCTCATTGGAGATATTAACATCAATATTCTCTCTGATAAACGTGAGCCCAAACCCGACCCTTATTTGAATCTTCTGGCATCACATGGACTATTAACTGCACATTCGTTCATCACCCATGATGATGCTTGCCTTGATCACGTTATGATGAAAACCAACCTTAAGACAACCACCATCGTGTCCGATTTCAAATTCACCGATCATAACCCTATCCTTACATTCATTGGACAACGTCAACAAACACCATACCAAAAAATTCGAATACATGTCAATATACAAAATGTTACAAACGAATTAGCCAACACCGATTTCTCAACCATCTTTGATACCAAAGATGCTAATCTTGCTGCTGATCTATTAATCTCCAAAATTTATACATGCATCAAGGAAAACACCAAGTCTGTCAAATTGTCATGCAGAAAACGCATACTGAAGCCCTGGATTACACCCGGACTTCTAAGGTGCATACAAAACCGTGACAGCTTGCATAGCAAAATGAAAAAAGACCCAAGCAATTTAATAGCCAAAGTCACATATCTACGTTATCGCAACTATTGCAATAAACTATTAAAAAAATTAAAATGTCTCTACGAACGCAGTGAATTTCAAAAAGCCAAAAATAACCCCAAAGCGACTTGGAATGTCATCAAGTGCATAACACATCTCACCTCCTCTTCATCACCTTCTACGGACCTACTGGATCTAACAAATGACTCAAATGTGTCAATAAATCAGGTCAATGACTTCTTTGTCAATATTGGACCAAATCTAGCAACCAAAATTCTTAAAAATCAACAAATATCAGTTTCACCTAAAACCTCAATAAATTCATCTCACAATCCTCTTGGCAACTCCATGGTTTTATTAGAGACAGACGAATCAGAAGTTGAGAAGATAATTATAAATCTAAAAACAGATAGTGCTACTGGCTATGACGGAATCTCTTCTGCAGTTATTAAGGCTGCCCGAAATACTCTTGTTCCTCCTATAACATATGTCTGCAACCGTTCCCTTGAGTCAGGTGTCTTTCCAAAAGCCTTCAAGAAGGCTCTGGTACATCCAATCTTTAAGAGTGGGGACAGAAGCAGTGTCAATAATTATAGGCCTATATCAGTTCTCACTTCCCTCTCAAAAATAATGGAAAAAATTCTTAACACTAGGCTTATTAATTACTTGAACAAATATAATATCATATCAGAAAATCAATACGGGTTTAGAAGTGGTTTATCCACAGAAGACGCTGTTATGGATTTAGTCAACTCAGTAGCTAAAAAAATAGACAGTAAATTAAAAATAATAGGAACCTTCCTTGACCTATCCAAGGCCTTTGACACTGTTTCTATCCCCATCTTACTTCAAAAGCTAAATGAAATTGGCATAAGAGGTTTGGCTTTGGACATGTTTCGAGACTATCTCTCAGAACGCAATCAATGTGTCAAAATAGATTCTTTTCTTAGTGATGATAAATATCTTTCCTATGGAGTCCCTCAGGGCAGTGTACTTGGACCGACATTGTTTCTGGTATACATAAACAGTCTCTGTCGCTTGACTATTCCGAACTGTCGCATCATCACTTACGCAGATGACACTGTTCTCTTGGTACACGACAAAACTTGGGAGACTGCTCAGCGGCAAATGGAAGTGGCCCTGCGTGTTGTATCAAACTGGCTCTGTGACAATTTGCTGACCTTAAACATTAACAAGACAAAGTATATTACCTTTTCTGCATCAAAAGCATCACAACCCAAACATGATCCCTACTACATCAAAATACATCACTGTGACACGATAAATGCAAACTGTGCATGCATGGCAATAGAACAGACGGATAATATAAAATATCTGGGAATTATAATCGACAGTACCCTTACCTGGACACCTCAAATAGATAACATGGCATCGCGGATTCGAAAAATTATTCCAGTTTTTAAAAAATTGAGGAATGCGGCGGACTCAAAAACCTTGAAACTGGTCTATCTTGCGCTGGCCCAGTCAATTCTAACCTATTGCATTCCTTCCTGGGGTGGGGCGTCCCCCACTCATTTTCTTAAACTGGAGCGAGCACAGCGAGCCGTGTTAAAGGTTATGAGTAAAAAACATTATCGTTACCCTACTACCCAACTATATAAAGACTGTGAGGTGCTTACAACCAGGCAACTCTACATACTTCAAATGATACTTCGTAGACATCGTTCACTTCCACTGGAACAGCGCGCACAGAAAGTAAGTCGAAGACTGGAATACCGGGTATGTGAGCACGTCCCCCACAGAACCGCTTTAGCTCGTAGACAATACTATGTCCGAAGTAGTCATGTGTACAATAGGATTAATAAAGAAC